GAGTAATACAAGTCTTTCGAGTTTTCTCACAGTGCATACATTGAGTTAATAAAAATTACTATCCATAATAATTCACTATGCCAATGGATCGTGCAAATTAAATGAAGATATTCATTGAACACAGGCTAATTGTTCATAGGTCAGACACATTCCTATATTGTCTTCAAGGGTAGTTCCGGTGTCCTGTCCGGGACCGAAGGCCACCCTTATTCGGAAGGGTGTCGCCCACGTTTCCACCCTGCAGTTACCCGCGCTGTCTAGCTCGTTTCTTTCACAAAGAGTGTTGCCGCAGTGCTCCAAGTTGCAAATTCCGGCCTCGTTATTCCCAGGCTTAAACATTTTCCGCGATAATAAAGAAATTATCAAATTAAATAGAATTCAATAATTCTCTGATTTTATAAATGTTATCATTTCCAATAAAGTTCACATTACCAAAATATTATGGGATATTATTTATTTATTGATTCTTGATCAGCGAATTAATATATGTATTTGAATGATTAAAAATTACCGTAATGAATTCTTCAAAATCGCAAGGGATGAGCACCCTGTCCCTACAGCGGCCGCTCGCGAAATTCGAAGAACCGCCATCGTCCATGGCATTGGTCACATTCATCGCTCCAATATCGCCCGATCCAGACCCTTCGATATCCGTATCGGTATTATTAGTCGCATTTTGTGCTGTGGAGTTTGCGTCATTGGGACGCTGGCTCGTCATCGAGGAATTTAAATTAGTATTGTTTAGATATTGTATTCTGGCAGGGCCGATTCTGAACGAGTCAGAAGTGCACGGACTGTAAGATATCCCGCACATCCCTCTCTCTTGGCGAATGCAGAGCAAATAGTCCTGATTAGCGAGGAATCGGCCGTTAGATAAGAAATTGAACGTCTTCAGAGTTCCGTTCAGACCCTGGAAACAATATATGAAGATTTTATACAAATAAAAATTGAATCTACCTGACAGACTGTCAGTCATAATTAAATGCTGTTATGTCGAAATTAATGTTTTATATAATAATTGTTGTAATGTTTAATAAAATGTTTGATACAATAATTCGTATGCTAATTGGTCCTACACTTCGGCGATCGTGAGCAGAAAAACTGTGAATTTAGGCTAATGATGCAAATGGGTTAAAGGAATTATTTTACATTTAATTGATTCCATCAAACTTTAATCCATATTACAAATGATCGCATTTATTGATTACATTAATTAGATTTGACGATCAATTAATACCTGAAAGTACTGTAGGCACCCGCTGGGCGCTCTTTGCTGAAAATCCAGCTGAACGATCCTCATTTCCCACATTCTTGATCGAAGCCCCCCGGGCAGCCGGAAATTCAGCGTTAATGACGCGTCCTCTTCGTTTAAGTCTATGTACACTGAATAAAAAATACCGTCTTTTATTGCTCTTTAAAAGAATTATTTTTCTTTAAGCCTTCTACACGTCGACGTATCATTACGACGAAATGAAGAATCATATCATATTGAAACATCGAACGTAAGTATGATTTCAAAAATAATTTCAGACAAGAAACGTAGAAAAAGAGAATTCTACTCACAATGCTGTCCGCTGTTCCACCCGCAGATTTGAAACATGCTTCCTCCGTTTCTAATTTCCATTACGTCCTCGTCGCAAACGCCTGTCCTTAAGTTCGGTTGACCCTTAGTTAAAAATACATTTTAATTTATTATATAATACTATGATTAATTATTATATGTATATTTATCATTAAATTGTCTCGTGAAAGAAGACATCTGTTTATGACAAAACGAACACGTTGATTGGTAGTACATTCTGGGGTTAATACGCTGTTAGTAGAGCAAAGAATACAAGAGTCGGCTTACTATGTTGAAGTGTAAGAAATCGATCCTCAGCTGGCCGACCTGGGTATCGATCTTCTTCACCGTCACGGTACAGTTCATGGGCCAGTCGATTAGATTCGGGAACTCGGGGCTGATCACGTACGTCAGATTGTTATCCACAGTATGATCACAACTTGCCGTGACTTGTTTTCATAATGCAACAAACAAGTTCGAATGTAAATTGACGACACGACGTAGTAAATTTCTCTGTAGAATTTAAATGTATATCATTTATAATATAAAACGTTCAGTATTATTAAATGAAATCTCATTATTAGGAAAAAGTGTTATTCTTTATTTTTAATATCTTCTTATTAGAATTCAATAGATTTTCTGATTTTTAATGATCCCGGTGTATCGGCCAAGTGACTTTACGCAGCTAACGGTATCGGAGAAACGGAAAAAACGAGGAAAAGAGAACAAGAACGAGAAACAGGATAAACGGGAATGATTGAAGCTCGCGTTCGATTCATCAGCATTCGCAAACACTTAATAAAATTCGATGATGACAATTGAAAAATGTTTCCAACACGATTTCTCATATTTCAACGGATAAAAAAAAAAACTGTGATACATATATTCGTCCGATATTCTGGCGGACCTCGTAGCTCGAAAAATCCATGAAATGTGGTGATCGTGCTTGTAACTGAATTTACTGTTCATATTGGATTTCATCTGATCTAATGAACAAATTTCAGAAAAAACTGCGATATTTTATTTTACCACACAAATATTGTGAAACTTAGTCGATCTCTTTGAGTCATTGACTCAAATATAAAAAAATCCTGAAAACTGGCATTTCTCTATAAACAAGAGATACTATTTATTCAATCAAAGCATTGATTTGAAATTTTTATCAAGAAAGAGATAATGCGTTTTCTCGCGATGTACGGTAACGGCTTATACAGTTACTTAATTGGCCCGCGTACGTGTCCCAGATGTTCCGCCAATTTTATTTTTCGGGATCGCCATGTAGTAAGCCAGTGAGAAGCTAAACCCGTTAGATCGTGAAAAACCAACGTTCCGCTCTCCCTCTATCTCTCTTATGCTTGGGAGATCACGAAAGAGACTATCGACGGTGATTCACGTTCGAGTCTTGTGCACCTTTGATCTTTTAATCAGAAAAATCTATGAATTTTTTTTTTCATTTCTACTCTCTTAAACAATTTCAATAATTGAGAATGCAATATTAATCATCACAGTATTATAACAGTAAAATCTAATAGTAATAAACATCTGAATGCGAAATAATATAATCAAAGTGTCGTGTCATTATAAACACGGAATTGTAATTAGGAACGGGTTCAAGGCTGGCACGGCTCTCGAACTCCTTTAACCGTGAACAGATGCAAAACAGTTTGTTGCGAGTCAAAGCGGGTCTGTAAGTAACAGGTTAAAACAGAATTCCTCGCGGTTACGGAATCTTTGAGAAACGGTACGGCGTACACGTCTATATAATGTTCAAGTCTCTTCGGGTTGCTTTAAATTATTCAAACTATTCAAATTGTACCGCTATAATGGTTAAGAACGCGTCCCACGGAATCCGTACCGACTGGCTTTTAATTCGGTGTACACCGGGTGTCCCGCAAACGGAATGATTCATTTATGCCCTTTGACACTGTTCAACTCTTACATCAATGCAATAATTAATTGTCCTTTATAATGCTATGCAGAAAAAAATTGAAGTAAAATTATGAAAGTCACAATCAGGTCGTATAAATCGAGATGAATTTTATACCAAAGAATTGTACTCGAGATAATTGAACCCATTAAGATTTACAGCAATGTATTTAATTAATTGTTGACAGAAATGCAGGAAGGAAACTTATAAAAACTGTGAAGGACGTAAATTGCATTTAATTGATAAACGAGGTCTTTTGTGAAGTAATGAATAAATTAGAAAATAATGAATGAGTATCAGAAGTATAAAATGCCGATTGTTTTCGAAGAAAATGTCAATTTCAAGTTCATTGAAATTGACGTCTGAAAAGGTTTATTTTGCATGAAAATCGGCGGTATAACCGTGTTAAAAATTTGTTTCGCTAGAGGAGACTATTAATGGCAATGACTCTGTCAACTCCCTAGTTAACGAGTTCTCGTTCAGGCATTCAACGCTTTTAAAGGGGCTATAACGCCGGTTGCTCTATTCAACCCCGTGGGCTAACATTTTTCACGAGAGGAAGCAACCATGAAAAGTTTACGAAGCGGCGGCGGCGGTCGCCTTTCTAAGGGGAAGAGAAACGATGTCTGATTTTTCAGCTCGTTTAACCGTACGCTGGATTCACGAGTGGATGGATGGATTAAAAAATAGACGAGGTAGAACGTGAATTACTGTATTGCCAGTACTTACAGACGCAACAGACGCCGAAACCGAGGGCACAGCGGCCGTAAGATTTCCCTTGTTGAATTCTGCACTCGTACGTGTTCATGCATATACCCCTTCGACGCTTGTCTTGCGACAAACATTCCTCTTGCACGGGTGTAGGAAAAAAATTGAGAACTGTCAAACAAGAATGATTGCGTTTATTTCGATGTGACGATTGAATACGATAGAACGTCAAATTAAAATTGAATTTAGAACTGAAATCAAAACTAGGAAAATTAATATAAATTTCATATGAGAAATAATGAGATAGCAACAATTGAATCTAATTCCATTATATTTCAATATATTATTAATTTAATTGGATGTGATTGACATTAATTAGAATTTAATTTAATGTCTCTAATTGATTTTCAACGACCACTGAAAAAAGAGAGCTTGGATTTTATTCACTATAAAATTAAAATTCAAATCGTGTACTAAAAAAGATAAGAAACCTGTTAATTGAGAATTCATTAGGTGCGAATTCATCGAGCAAGCAATAATTCAGGTGCCAGTCATCGACTGTCACTATCGTCGACACTCACTGCCAATTAGCAACTATAAATTAAAATCATAATTACTGAATGACTCTTACTATTTGAATAGAATCTAAAAATATGAGTTTGCACCAAAATCTACAATCTAATTATAATTAAGAAAAACATAAGATATAAAGGAATTAATGAAGTAGTCAGAGAATACGAAATTACCCCTGGAAATCGCAGTTGCTGTCAAATCTGAACTCTGCACTGGTTTCTGCACGTTTTGGCCGGGCCACAGGTTCAATCCCATCAGTAACCATTGCTCGCTGGGAACAGGGAACACTAGCAAAGTGCACAGATTTATCGGAAACCACTGGCTTGGTCGATCCGCGATGATCGCTAGAATCAGACGGGCAACGATCCATCCGAGGATCATCGTTCGGATCACCTGTGATCGCGCATTTGCGATCGAGAGGACCGGGAATACGGCGGCCGACTGACCATGACCGGTGGGACCGGTAACACATGTGTTTTCTGGACCCCTTTCTGCTGCTACGGTTACTTTTACCGTGCGCTTGATACAAATACACTGCCGCTCAAAAGTACGTGGACACTTCCACGGTTCTAATAAAAGAACTGACCAAACCATTCGGTTTTACCTATTTTATTTCACTGCATTTAAACATCTTTCATTAAACACATTACTAATGAGAATATTATGAATAATTAAACATTCTCCTGTCCTGCGTTTTAATTAATTATCGCTTTTACTATTCTTCAGATTCTGGATTTCATTGTTGTTAGAAACGTATTCAATCTCATAATTTTATTCCGTTCAATGCTTCCGAAGTTTTATAAAATATATAAAGTTCTTCTATAATATCGATAGCAAGAGATTCTCTTTGAGGAATATCAACAACGGACTCGATAAGAAATTTCAAATGAAATCAGTCAATGGCAAGAGTGCGTCCTCCACTTGAAATTAAGAAACTTCGCAGGAACTTCTTGATTAGCGTTCAGAACGAATCGCCAACAGTCCAATTAAATTCAGATTAAACACGATTAAAGAAGAGAACGCTATTTATTTAATTGAAAGTTCTCGAGTTACATCAATACGGAGACGGCATAGGGTTCAATATTGAAATCGAATGTAAATTTTATGGTTCATCTTTGTCATATTCGTCTCTTATCTATTAACAGATAGAAGAATTTTTATATAATTTGAATATTAATTACATGATTATACGTTTATACTGTAGCAATAAATGAGTCTCGTGCCATAAATGACCTATTTCGATTATTGTAATATTTATTATCTAACAATGAATAATGATAGAACTCTGAAAATTGGAAAAGCATAAATATTGATTAATAAATACCTGCTATAATGTTTATTAAGAATATTAACTGGATTTTAACTCAGTAAACGTGTACGCAAGGTTTGGCAATTTTACAATTTTTTATAAACTTGTAGAATGGAAATCAATTTTCGCTGATAGAACCAGTTTTAAAAGGAGCCTCTGTTTGTGAAAAAGTCCCATCGGTAAAGTTGGCTTCTATCGGAATGAATGTACCGATGGAGAGCCAGTCATGCGCGGATCGTGATCGTGACCAGTTGTATATTGCTTTTTCGATATGGCCACCGTAAGGTTTCATCGAAACCAACGCTGAAAAAAACTGTTCTCAGAATCGGCTAACAATCGTCGTAGTCCAGCAAATCGGTGAGTCAAACTAAAGAACGATTCTCTTAATTCTTGTTATACCTACGATGCATATAAGCCTGAAGGGTCCTCCGTTAACCAAAATATAAACAATGGAAAGGAATAATCGTAGCATTAAGAGAGATAGGATTAATTAAAACTCGTCCGATTTGCAGTTTACAATCATTTATTTAATTAAACCTAAATGATTTGGGGATCGTTGTTGTAAAACTTGTTACTGAGCTACCATAACCTTTCGTCTGGTTTCGAGCTTCGCAAGTTTCCTATTATTTTAATCAACGTACAACTTATGTTCGTACCCGTCGTGTTTGAACGATTATTAGAATTTTTTTAAACGATCCAAACCCATTCGCTTTAAACAAGAATTTGTTTAAATAGAATCTCGTTCGATTTTCGATTTACTAAGAATCGTCGTGTTTTCCACGATTTTCACCGTGTAGATATTGTATAAACGATGCAATGATTTTATTTTGATGTTTAATTGCAAAGTTATTATAATACACCAGTAACTTTGCGAACGTCTGTGTTAAACGGTTTTGTCAGTGGTAAAGATTTGTGCAACAATTATTATACGGAAAATGCAAAGTTCTATTTGTTGGTAAGTAGCTGGAAAAATTCCAGCGAAGACTACGAACAGTAATTATATACTACAACAATTTGTAATGAATAAAAGAATAAGAATATAATGTGAATAATTTCCTTTCGAGTGAAACTCTTCCAGAGTCGCTTTAAACCTAGAACATGTGTAAGTATATGCATAAGAATTGTGTTTCATTTATTTTAAAAAAGAGTGCGTTCGTATATGTTGACAAGAAAAGAAAGAGGAAGTGTCGTCATTCGTTTGTTGCTGAAACTCTCTGTTCAGCAATATTTTCTTCGACACAGTATGACAGTATTAAGACAGTCGATTTATGAGAGAGAGAATTTATGCTTAGACTCTGTTTGGTTTAACATAAATATTTACGATAATTTAAACGAAATGTTACATGTGTCGAATTGTTTAAAGTACGTAAATAGTATCGTACAGCGTTGAAAAATGGGTAAGTATAGTTATTTAAAGTTTGTAGCTATTCAATAATGAAATTCGCAAACAGAATCGAAATGTATAAATGGACACGATTAAAAATTCCCTCAGTTATAAATCGTCGGTTCAGTTATCGGTTGAAAAGAATTTACTTTTACACTTTAGCAATTGTGTTAGCTAAACTACCTTTCTTTCTCTTACAATTTAGTATAGATAAGTATGCATACATTAATACAATAATTAGTACCTCTTGCAATTAGTAGATAAGTACCTTTAAGAAAGAGATAATTGCAAGCCATGTAGTTATACCTACGGAATTCTTTGAGAACGTGTAAATCATTCCCTGATCTATTTTATTCTTCCGATTCACGTGGCATCATAGCGCTTTTGTATTTGCAGAAAAAACCGCGGAATTATTTCCTATCCAACCTGGGCCAGAAGCATGCAAAACTTCGATGATCTCGACATCGAGGGTCGTACTCCCTCGCACTTGCCAGAGGCTGACAAAGAGAAGGTAATATTAAGTTAAGGTGAATTTTGTTCCAAAATAATTGACCTCATAAAGATCCTGATCAATAACCATCTCAAAGAATGAATTCTGTAAAATACATTTAAGTATCTATTAGAAACGATTATTTTATCAAATTAGCCAAAAAGTTTTCTCATAGTTCACGCCACGAAGTTGTGCAGGAAATACTAATCTATATTATAAGAATATTTGAATCCCGCAGGAAGATTACGATCGGAAGCGTTTAATGCGGAGCAGCGTGACCGCAGAGGATGGAACCCTGCGACCGGTTTACTCGGAAACCGAGGACGGCGACATTTGGTGTCACATCTGTAACATAGCGTTGTTCGGCGCGCACAAGCTGATGAATCACAACATGTGCAACAGGCATAAGATGAAGTTGAACGAGTGGCCGTACCCGGTTCTGCTGTGGTCGAAACGGTCGGATATCGCGAAGGCGGTTGCCCCGGTGCAATCGACCGCTATTAGCGACGGCCTGGCGCCCGGCGAGCCGGTACCGCCAGGCATGGAGGACCAAATCACGCGGACTACCACGATTCAGATGAGCCTTGATCGGCACAGGAGCTCGCCGTTAGTCGGCCTCGAGTATTTGCTCGAGTTGGTCGACAACGATTCCTGCGAGCCAAGTTACACGTGCGTTTTGTGCGACAAACGCGGCGACCCACGCACCGTGATGGCGCACATTACCAGTTACAATCACAGGATCACGTACCTGAACAGACATTTCCCGACGATATCGCGTGCGATCATGGAACTGCCGCGTACTCCGAATTACAAACGCGGGGCGAACGAGATTTCTGTGTTAGTGGCTAAGAAGATCGAAGAACGATTCGGCAGGCTGCAGCCGCAGCTAGTCGACAAGAATCAATTCGAGAAAAACAGGATACAGTATATCAAAAGGGTCTATCAGGACTATCACTTTAGGTAAGTTCCGATTACGTTTCCGTATTGTAATATTTCTCTTTTCCGTTTAGCTTCTTAACAGCGTAACTTTGAACAAGCATTTATTAGATGTAATCAAGTTTGTACGTAGAACACGGTAAAACTTTTCATTCTTTCGCTTATGCCTCGTAGAACTTGTTCATTGATTTTTTAACAACTTCTTTATCGTCCACCCATTATTCCTCCATTCGTTATAAGTTTAATTAAGTTTTCATAGTATATTACTTAAAGAGATATATTCTCTCTTAGATATAGATTTAATTAAAGTTGGCCAAAACAGAACAAAGTAGACAGTTTACCGGTTTTGACTTTACTTAAAGACGAGCGAACTTCTTTAAAATAAAAATTGTTTCCTGTATCTCATAAAAAAATCATCCGCGCGTATGAGCACGTCGGTTCCGCGTTGTATTTTTAATGGATTGGTGGTTCACCAATTTTCGCGTGAGCTTTCATTGAGAAATCATTGTGGCTGTTTCCTACGTGCAGGGAAACGCCTGAGTTAACGTTTATGGACGTTTACGATGTTCGATGGGTGACGAACTTCGACGAGAAGATGGCCGAAATGAATGATAGTAGTTCTAAGAAAGGTGAGTATAACTTTATTTCATAATTTTATATTTAAACACCGTAATTACCGTTTTAAATGATAATTTTGCTATCAAGATTTACCACCTATCGACGAGAAACTGGTGGACGATAAGCGTAATAAAAGTGACGATAAAAAAAGTGATAAACCACCGAAGAAGGAAACAAAATTAGAAACTACCAAATCGTAAGTCAAATATTTATAATAACAATAACGATTATTCTCTTTTATTATTCAACTTAGGAATGGTGTTCGTTGTTTAATGCACTATAAGCACGATACAAATCATTTTACCCCTCTTGCTTTTCCTTAATATGAATCGCAAGAGATTGGTATAAAAGTTATGCGACATAAAATTTTCATTTCAAACGAACTCCGTGGCCGGGAATTTTAAAAACATGAATTTGCCCATCGCTAACTGAAATGCCAGGTTCATTTCAGATATTACCCTTAAAATATATTTTTTCCAGGGGGTTCAAGATACGCATTCTAACTAGGGACAAACTAAGTATTCGTAAGCCCTTAGAGTGCAAAGACGAGGATATTCCGCCAATAAAAAAATCGCCTAAACGTCCTTCGGATGAAACCAAGTCCCTCTCCTCCTTATCCTCGATATCTAGCAGTCCCTCGCCGTCGCGTTCCAGGTCCAGATCACCCATGCGCAGTCGTAATGCCATTACATTAGGCAAACCTAACAGATATCGTAGCAAGTCTCGATATTCGAGGGAGAGGACTCATTCGCGGACCCGTTCCCAATCGCGTTCGCGTTCACGGACGCCGGAACCGTTGCGCGAGAGAGATAAGTGGGATAAGTACCGTGAACAGATCAGAAGAGCCGAGGAAACGTTGGACAGATCTTTGAAGTTCCACGAGAAAAATCCTGAGAAGCATCCGTCCTATCCAGACGAGTGGAAGAAGTTTTGGAATCGACGTTACAAGGAACTGCAGGCCGAGGGCAAAGATCCTAGTAAACACGATTTCAAACCCGAGTGGATCGAGTTCTGGAACAAGCGAATGCGAGAGATTCACAATGAACAGCTGCAGCAGCGGAAAGAGGAGATTCGAAAAAGGTTGGAACTTCCAGAAGACAAACCGCCTGAGAAATGGATAAGAAGGGATAGAAGCCCTCCGAAAAGGAGGCACCGAGTAGAAAGCGATGACGAAGTGGAATACGTTGGGACAAAGACTATAAAAACTGATTACTATGATCGTCACGAAGTCAGGGAACGCGATTATGGGTATCCTTATGTGAGAGGTCGGGGTAATATGAATTACAGAACGAATTACTACCCGCGTGGACTTCCACCCAGAACCCGGCAAATTCATTACGCGACTCCTTATCCGGTGAAAGATAAGTCGCCCAGTCCAGTTCCTGAAGAAGTTTTAACAGAAAATTTAGAAGTCGTCGGTCTCTTGCGACTGTTAACAGCTTTGGAAGGTCAGCTGGGCTCTCTGGGACCCAAGATAGTCTCGCTATTGTCGAAAGCGTTGGCGGCTGAGAAAGCAAGGCCGAATTCAGCCGAGGAACTTCTATACGACGAGGAAGTGAGCGTTCTGTTTGAAACTGTTAAGGAGAAACTGAAGGGCCAACTGTTCGCTGGGATGATAGAGAAAATGGCGATCAATCCGACGAAATCGGCCATTCAGAACATCGCTCAATTACTTCACAAGACTGCGGAGAGTAAAAGGAAAAAGGAGGAGGAAGAGAAAAAAAAGAAAGAATTGGAGGCCGCTAAGTCAGTCAGTTACGTTCCCAGGCCGCTTTATTCTAGGCCGATAGAAGTCGCCGCTCCTGTTATAAAATCCGAGCCTGTTAGCGTACCGGGGGTTGGCACTGTGGACAAAGTAGCGATAGCGCAACAGATAGCAGCTGCTTTGATAGCACAAGGCAGGACGAACGTGTCGCAAGAAGAGTTAGAGACTCTGATTAACGCAGTTGTTGGCATGGCGGAAGCTTCAAAGAATTCTGACAAGCCAGTGACCACGGCCGATTTCGTCAAGGGACTATCATCCGGCGGTGGTAGTTCACTGCCACAGGCGACTCCCGCTCCGATCGTCCCTACTACTGCTGACGTGATCGAGAGACCAACATCCAGAATGGAAAGTCTATCCGACACCGACTTAAAATCACTTCTACAAAATTTCAAAGATCTGAGCAGTCAAGAACAGCACGGACTTATCAATTTTTTGAAAAAATTGGAAGCTACCGACCCGGTCCGAGTTGAAAAACTAAGGGCGTTCGTTAATTTAGGTACGAGTACTGCACTCTCATCCAAAGTGAAATTAGAAGAATCGGAGAAAGGTGAAGGTGTGTCTTCGAAGACTAGAAGCATGTCTCCGTTTTCAGGCAGAAAGGAGCATGACAAATGGAAGAAGGATGAAGATAAATGGAAACCGAAGATAGATATGTTCGCAAACGATGACGAGGAAGAGGAACAGCAGACGAAAAATGATAATGACGATAAACAGAAAACGAAATTAGACTTGTCTGACGACGATGACGATTACTCGTTCGAAGATATATACAAGGCAGCTGATAAAAACGTAAGCGAGAATGAGAAGAAAAAGAAATCTCGGTTTTCTAAATCCGCCTCGAATTCCCCTCGGTCTTGGACCAGGTCGCGATCCAGATCCGTCTCACCTGTAAGGTCGAAAGAGACGAAAAGCCAAGATCCTAACGCAATTCTGAACGAAACTAAGAGATTGATAGCGAACATCATGGGAGATCTGCCGAATAAATATGTTCCCAAATCTCATTTACCTGTAGAAAATCAACCAGAGCAAACTGTCAGTAATGATTCGATGAGTAACAGTTCTACAGCAGCGGTGCCAGGCTTCTGTAATCAAGATTACAGTCAAAATAGTCAGCATTATCCTCCTGCACGCCCTCAGGGAAGTTTGACTTACCCGAATATGAACCCACAGAATTTTAACTATAATCAGCAAGTTTATGGTAGCAATTCGGGTTACGTGGATAATACCTATAATTATCAGGGTTATGGGAATATGGGGAGTCAATACGGTGGGCCATCCATGACGAATCAGTATCAGAATTATGACGCAAATAATTACGGCGGGCATTCATCGAATTATCAGCCGCAACAACAACAGTACGGGAATTACATGCCACAGCAACAGCAACAACGGTTTTATTAAAGATTTCATTCAGATTTTCAGTTCATTTCAGGACGAAGGGTTTTTATTAATACATTTGTATTTACATTAAAAATTGCCATTAAGAACTTTCCGTCATTCAAATTATCAGGATTTTTATTAGTTGTTAATTATTAGTTGATAAATGCTGATAAAAGAATGATTGATGTCATGACTTTGTATTATAACTTATATGGTCGATGTAAATACATTTTAAAATCCATTTACTATAGAAATGATAATGATAACAATAGTTTTTAATATCAGGATTCTGTTCTGCTCAATTTTTCAATCGGATAAACAAGAATAAGAGAATTTGCAGAAATAAATGCTTGGTTCATTCTTTATGGAATTTTCCCGAATTTTATTCCTTCGTTTTTTTACATGCTTATTAAGTGAAAAAAATGATGAATCAAACTCGCGGAACAAAGTTTTCTTAGAAGTGTTCGTTTGTTAAAATGGTGGAGTGAATGTGAATTAGATTAAAGAAAGTATCAAAAAGAAAAGTAGAAAAACCGGTAAGGCGAAAGTAAGTAATGACAAGAAAGAAAAATTCTTGTTTTAAGTTTTTTAAAGTAAATATCCGATTGTTGAAATGAAGAACGTGAGTATGTATAATTGAAGAATTTCAGATATGTGCGTGTGTTATCCGTAACGAAAAATGCGTTACGAAGAGAAAAATCGCAAGTAAACTATTGTTTATTTTTACAATTTTAAACAATTCTAACGTTTGAACGAATATACAGAAGCGAGCATGCTGTGTAATTTCTCCATATATATAACTATAAGATATATTATAAAAGAACAGTAATATAAACTAAAACTAAATAAACATTTTCATTTGTAAATAATTTGAAACGTGTATCTGTTCTTTTACCTTTGTAAGAAATTTAGAAATAATTGTAGTATTAATAAGATTGTCAAGGAATACGTAAGCAATAGAATTAGTATTATATTATAGGAAAAGAAAAATTGTATTACGGAATTTAGTTTAATTGTACATAAAAAAAAGAAAGTGGATAAACAAAAAATATTTAATTCTGTCTTTTGATTTACACTGTCTTTACATTTTATTTAATAAATATCATTAAAAAGACAACTGAATAAAAACGTGTGCACATGTATGTACCACAGACCTAGAGTAATTAGGAATTTCACTTGGACAGTTTATTTTATTATTTTATTTAACTAATCAATTAATTAGCGTTATAATTAATTAATCACGGTGCACGTTGACTAGATAATCAATAAGTTATTATCTCGATATACATATACATAGAGTACCGTGTATTATCACAAACAATCGTACTTTAATTACAAGTATATAAATTAATCAAAAAGAAGCTCGTACAATATTTACAATATCTCTTTACAAACTTTTAGTAAACTTTTAGGAATTGCGTTTCTTATTATTATAATATTAGGTCATGTTTCGTAAGTCCTCTCGCTTCGTTCCCCGGTACATTTACCAGAATTAAATTTCAAGAACATAGAAGTATGGAAATTATATTCATTATGAATCTCATAACACGATTAAAGAAATCAAATTATATAATAAAGCTATTAATTTGCGGTCTCAATTATTATTAACAGATTAAGAGAAGTAAATC